CTGGAGACTGTCTCATCTAGAACACGAGCCAAAGCATGAGCTATGACACCCGAAGTGCATTGAAATCTCTATAACATGGAAACACAGAGGCAGCCCCTAATGTCCTTAAGGCTGTTTCTCCTGGAAAGTGTCCCTGGATGTACCTGAGCCCTGCCAGAAAACGTAGTTTTTCCTGGTGAGTGACGGCTGCCTGGCTCAAATCAGTCACCACATCATGTGTTTCCCTGTCAGTGACAGTGGCAAAAGGCCCAGGCCAGCTCTCACAGACCATTAGAATTAGAGAATGGGCTGTGATGGTCAAAGGAGGCAACCAAACTCTCCTTTGTCCCAGCCTGCAAAGATCAGGAAAGTACTGATTTATTGTGCTTTCTGGAAATTGCACAGTGGTGATCTTAAAAATGTAATCTTTTATTGAGGTTGCTATTTAACAATAGGGGAAATGGGGAGGGGTTAGCACCTCTTAAACTACAACCTAGACCTACTGTGAAAATGATACACCCCACATCAGAGCTGAGGCTCCCCTGGGCCCACGCCAGAAAAGTTACTGCAGATAAGCCTAGAAGCTATCTCCTCTCAAAATTAATTTTTAGCTTATCTATTCATTTATAAAAAAGGTTTGTACTCGGTTTATATTTTTGCTGAACTTTCGGACATTCATTGACAATGAATGTTTTTTTGACCAGCTGGAGTGGGGCTGGGCCCAGCCTCATCCCCAGTGGGCACAGCTGTGAGCAGCAGGTGAGCAGCACTGACAGCAATGAGCCATGGGGTGCCCAGGGGCACTGACCAACCACCAAAGGGAGCAGAGGGACACAGGGGCAGTGCATCAACTAGAGGGGATAAAAGTCTGGGCTGAAGAACAAGAAGGGCAGAGCTTGCAGCCTTCTGAAGAGGTGTGGTATTATTCTGTATGGGCTGAAGCCTTCTGAAATTTTGTGATGATATTCTGTGTATTGTGGCCTTCTCAACTGTGACAGATCCTTTAGCAAGAGATAGAATAAGAAAGTAGGGTTTTGAACATGAAAAATGTAAATGCTCAGATTTTCTTGATATTTAACACTCATATCTCTCAATTTGGCCAGTGTGTTTACTAGACCTCCATTTTATCCCTCACCATTGCTTTGACAGTAAAAACTTGATCATCAAGAGATATGACTTTGTGCTGGGTATTGAATAGCAGTCATGCTGCAGTTGCATAACTTGCCATGGGACTTGGAGCTGGAGAAACTGCTTCTGAGACAAGAATCTAAGGATTTTGTGCTGTTACCAACAGTCATTCTGCTGCCTTTAGGTTTTAAGAGCTAATTTTCAAAGTTCTTTGATATTGTATGTAAAAATACTTTACTGCTGATCTAAAACCAAAGCTGAAACAAAAATCCCACTAATTTCCTGAAAGAGAGAACAAGAAGGGTCTCTAGAACTGAGACAGTTAATAATAAGTACTGCTACTCCTATGAAAAGGAAAAAGTAATGCAAAGATAATAATTTGACTAAGACAGGGTGTTGAAATGTTGATAGAAATCTAACTTACATAATACAAAGACAAATGCAAAGGATTAAAATACCATATAATTTTGAAACCATTACAATATGCCTGAGTGATTCTTTATTAGGGAGCCTCAAAAAAGCATGTAATTTCTTCTTCTACAAAAGCTGTAATCTCTCTGCTGGGTGTGTTAAAAATGACATTTCAACTTCCCCTGTGAAAGTCTTTGATTTTGTGAGTTTCTGTCAGGCTGGTCTCATTACTTTAATGCATTTTGTGTATATTGTAATAACATAAATGTTTTAATGCATTTCTTCTCAGATCAATCTGGGCAGTTATCTTTAAATCAGTCTTGTGTAACGTTAGGTAAAGAAGTTATAATTGGATCAAGGGGAACTATTGGCAATGAAGAAGCATTTAAACTTTATTTTGTTCATTTCCCTGTAGAAGAACTTGCAGTAATAGACTTCTGAAAACTACTCCTAGTTATATTTTTTAGTTCTTGACTTTTAGAAAACACTTATGTGAGATAAATGAATTTGGAAATGAACATGAAGTGCAAGCTGTAATGCATATCTCCCTCACAAATCACTTGCAAACCATTTTTATAAAATGCAATTAGCCATGTACAATGATGGCAAGAGACATACTTTTGAACAACTGGAAGCCATCATGCTCTACCTGTCAAGGAATAACCTCCAGAGAGCACAGAGCTGCAGAGGAGAAACCTCACTGCTCTTTAAAAAGTGAGGCTGATTTCCTAGAGCTATTGGAATGAGGGATTTTTTTTGACAGGTGGCATCACCATCCTTTGTGTTAAATTTCTAAGGAAGGAATGGAGTATAGTCAGAAAGATAAAACTGTGAGGTCTTGGGAAGCCGGAGACCTGCAGTTTTTTGTCATCAAAGTCCAGTCCCCTCCACTGAGGTTGCTAAAATATATCACTGAGTTGAAGAGCAGTGTTGCAAGCATGAGTTGGGTCTTGAAAACAACTCATCCAGCACAATAGCCATTAGCACTGTTTGGAAGGAAATTCACCATTAAAAGGGTCTCTCTGACATATATATATACACACACTCTTGTATATAAATGTGATAACAGCCTGACAATATTTAACCTCCTATCTTGAGCATATAATTGAAGGAATAATAATAAATTACTGAATATGACAGGGATACCTTGAAGTGCCATTATAACCACTCACATGCCATTTTATTGCTGTGTGAAAACTCTACTTCAGTAAGCCTAGCATCATTCTAATGAAGTAAATAGCTTATTCATTAGAGAAGAATAAAAGCTTGAAGCTTTTTGAGTTCACCTGGGCATAATTTACTGATAGTAGCAAAAAAAAAAAAAAAAAAGGTCAAATTTTCTACTTAAGCAAACCATCAGCCAATTACTTAGTGGTACATCAAAAAAATAACACCACCATTTTCTCCAGAAACAGAATCTACTTAAGCAGAACCATCAGCCAATTACTTAGTGGTACATCAAAAAAATAACACCACCATTTTCTCCAGAAACAGAAAGGTTTACAAATTATGTACATTAACTAACACCCCTGAATTGAGTTGAAGATGTGTGAAAACAGAGTTATGGGTTTCACCCTTGGTCATTTCTGAAGCTTCTTATTCCAATGGCCACTACTTTCAGTGCTGTAATGAACTATTATCCAAATTGAATACTCAAATCTGAGTTTAGACCACTGAATGCTTGATGCTCACACACACCAAGTTCCTTTCTGTGGATTTTTGCCAATCATTTATGAAACCTCTTGAGTGCACCCTGAAGGGTTCTTGGACAAATGCTGATCAATAACCATAAAAGCATTTTAAAAGAGAGAACTTAACACCAGCACTGGCTCAGAGCTGGCAGAAAAAGCCAACACCCATCGAGGCCAGTGTTCAACCTGATCTAACCACAGTAATGGGACACTTCAGCTGTGAGCCTCATGCCTGTGGCCTCCTGCTCAGCAAGGACAAATTTAGCCTTTGGCTTAACCTCTGGCTAAAACCAATCTGAAAATTGTCATTTAATTCCACAGATTCATCTTTCCTATCCTTAGGGGTATGCTGTATAATTTACAGGAAGTATCACTCACTGAATCTCTGTTGTTCTGACTTTAGGAATTTTCTAATGTTGCCGAAGGATTCTTCCGTTATCTGGAGGCAATAGGTCATGAAACAAGAGGTCTTTTGGATCCACTATTTAGCTCTGATGATTTGGCCATTTACACCATTTATTAGGGCAAGGAACTGGGTTTTCCTTCACTTGAAAACTGGTTTATGCAAGTGAAATTTTGTACTATGGATGCAAATGTACTCCTGTCCAGTTCTGTTTGCCTAAATGTACCAATCCTAGTTGGGAAAAATTATTAGGAGATAGCTGTGGAGCCAAAGAAGAAGAAAACTATCAGAAACCATAATTCAATATCAATGACACAAAATCGAGAAAAATATTTAGTGTGTTTGTGGCATTTACTGCTGTTGTAAAATGAAAGATATCAGGCTTGCAGTGGCAAAGCTCAGACTCAGCTGAAAGAGGCCCAGTGTTAAAACTGCCAGGATAGTCTAGGAGATGCACAGGGAATTAAGTACCTTTAATACACAACTTAAACAACTGAGCTGGTCAGCAGGAAATTATTTTAAAGGCTAGGTAAAAGATTTTTTTAAAAAAAATTAAAAGAGGGGAAAAAAGAAGGGGGCTAAAACACACAGTCTGCTTCTTGTCTCTTTATTTAAGGCAAGAGTGCCAGGTAAAAACTGCAGAAATTGTCAGGGTCAGATGTGCAGAGGTGTCTGCTCAGCTGCAGCGCAGGAAGCAGCTCTGTATGTGGTGCTCAGAGCTGGGCTGGAGTGACTGACTCTGCTGCATCTGCTGGAGTCAGCACCTCCTCTGCTGGGGCCTTTCTAAAGCACCTTTTCCAGACTGCCACGTATTTATACATCTGGCCACTTTTTGCCTCTGAACTGCCTAAAGGTTTTTGAGAATAGAAGCCAGCTCCGAAAGCATTAGGCATCCTTGAGTGAGCAAAGTTTTACTTTCCTATTGCTGAACACAAAGTACTGATGGATTTGCCTTTGTAGTGTGGCCACTACATCCATAGGTTCTCTACCCAAAATCCAGCTAAAATTACTGCTAGTCAAGATGTTTTTTCTTCTTGTTGTATCTTACACTTAGCCAAGATTATGACTCCTTTATATATGTGCTTTTATTTGTACAGCTGCTGGCATAGCAGGGGATCTGTAGGCACTGCTGGTTTGTTGGTACATTTTAATGTACATTGTACCAATTTCATGTTCATGTACCAATCCACAGGGGAGGAGGTAATGGTTTTGGAGTTACATCACTTCTCCCTTCCATTTCTGATATGAATTGAAGCAAACTCTTTGGAGAGAAACTGGGCTCAGAGCAATAAGTTATGGATCAGCAGAGCCAAGGGCCTAAAAGCAGCAGATCACTGGGGAGAGTAGCCCATATAGAAGTTTTTATTTTCTTTTTCTAAGCTAGAGCATTTCCTGGATCTCCCTGGATGGCAGAGATGCTGGAGGAGAAGAGAAAGAGAAGAAAGGCCTTAGCACATCCCTTAAATTCTCCGTGAAACTGGTCTTAATGTTGCTGAATGCTTAAAAGGCAAAGATGTGGTTGAACACAGAAGGAGGAAACATCACATATTCTTTGGTTGCACTTCCACAAGTGGATACGTGTATAGGTAAGACAATTTATTTTTAATGTTTACATCAATTAATAAAAAGAGCACCTTGGGTTCTACCATCTTGATGGGTAAAACATTTTTCCTTTTGCCATGTATTAAACTGTAGCTTTACAGACCTAGGGATTTTTTTCATTTTGCTGTATTTCACAAACAGTTCAAGAGTAAGCACACACTACTATCACTTCAGAACCAAGATTGTAATTACAAGAAATTTAAAGAGTCCCACTTGACCTTTAAAAACTGCGTGTTTAACAGACATAAATATGTCTGCAGACACATCAAAAATTCTACACTTTGCAGGTATTTATGAAAACGGTGATCACACCAAAAATCTTTTATTTCTACTCTAAACTGGGACAATGCTTAAATATGTGTGTGAGCATTGCACAGATATGAAAACTTTGTCTGGTTTACAAGTGTCCATGTATCCTGCTACTGGAACATAGCAGCTAAGACTATCAGTATGTAAGGCAGCTGTTAGTGGTAGTTAAAAGAGAAATGTGGGAGTTTGGATAGATTTTTCTAACTTTCTCAGCCAACAAAATCTAAGAAACAACAGCTTTCCTGTGGGGAAAGTGGGGAAAAATATCCCCTGTGTCAATTCCCTGAGCGTAAGCTCATTCAGTAAATACTCTTCCTCTTCCATATGAAGAAATCACTAATTCTGACTCCTGGGAGAAAGTTGTGGGCCTTGGCAAGGTCCAATCCTTGGTAAAATGCAACATTCAAACACAGCTTTGGGGCACAGAACTGCAGGGAGCAGTCACTCCTGTGAGTGTGCATTTTCAGTCTTCTTGGGAATCCAGAAGACTCTTTCTTCATACTTTGAAATGCTGACATTGGCATAAATCCAGGATGAAAATTGCAGCACAAAAGGGAGATGTTTCATAAAGCCATAAGTGATTGAAAACAGGGAATTACAATGCTAACTACTTTTGGATGTTAATTATAGAAGCTGCTACCAGGCATATTCTATATATACACACCCTCTTTTCTGGAAGTAACAAGAGCACTTTCTGTGATCCTGTTATCATACTGAAACAGGAATTCTCATCATTTTGTATTGTTAACTGTATTTTGATACAGAAATTTGTCTCACATAGGGAACATTTACAATTCAACAGACCAGAAGAGGCTTTTTCTCTTCATGACTGCCTAACATATCTGAAGTAGTATAAATATAGCAGTGTTTTATTTATTTGACCACCTCTTAATAGCCAAAACTGGGACTAGTTATCTTTCTTGCACCACTTACCTACAACAGACCAAAGTTTGGGAAGCTGCACACGTTTAAACTAATATTTTCCTGACTTTGGGGGCATTTCTTGAGCCCAGTTTCTTATTTTGATATGAAGAGGAAGCTGTGGTCCACATAAGCACAAGGACCCAGCAGCAGCAGCAAAATACCAGCACACAGAGGTGGTTCCTGTGCTGGTGTCAGACCACAGGCAGGGCTCTGAATTAACTGTTCAAAGTGACTTTTCCTCAATTTCTTTGCAGCCTTGGGCAGCTGGCTCCAGCAGAATCCAAGAGAATTCACTCAGGTTGCACTGCTGTGATCACATCCAGGTGTGCTGTGGTAACAAGAGTGTGAGGGCAGCCCACAGCCTTCACAAAGTAAATTCTTCTCATAGTTGTAGGAGCCCAAATGGCCAGTCCATTCCATGCATTTCACATGTCAGGAAAATTATATTTTGTATGCTCTTGTTTTGTATTTCCAAGTATTTTGAGTATAAACATGGAAGAGTAATTTAGGAAAATGAAATTTTAATGGTATGCTGGTAAGTCCAATCTTAAAAATACAAAAAAGAAATATTGAGCTCACAGCAGGACTTCACTCTCTAATCTTTCACAAGACATTCTGAGGTAAGTTATTTAACAGCTGTCTTATTTAGACTCTTAATGAAAGCTCTATAGTCTGCATGTTGAGTATATCCTCATTTTTCTGTCCCACTTCATACAGTCCATTCAGTGTGATATATGTTGGCTGTAAATATCTTAATATCTTGCTACCAATGGAAAAACTTACATAAGGGTGATTGATCTAAAAACTGATAACCATTTCATCCTGAAGACATGTTCTTTTCCTCCCCCTATCATAAAAATCTATCTTTCCTTAAAACAGTAAGTGTGGTGGCTCCCATTGAGTTGGAGAACCCTATTTGAAAAAGTCATAATTAAATTTGTGAACCCTTCTCACATCGCACATTGCACTCTAAAAATGTCAAGAGATATTTCTGATCAGCCCATAATTGGTCTTTCACGTATTTCCCATGTCAAACCTTTATAACTAGCATAAAGCTCTTTTGTAGACTATTTTTGCCAGAATTAATATCACACTTTTGAGACACTATAGCTTAAAAACAAGATCTGCTTTTTATTTTATCTTTTAATCTTACATAGCACAGAGGGAGGAAAATCAGTTTAAATTACTGTGATTTAATGAAAATATATTGACACATACACAAAAAGTTAAAGAAAGTTAAAGTCAGCATGAATTATGTTCTTAAGCCTCTTTATAGCTTTTTAAAGTTTTATTCTCAACATGTAACTGTTTTACTGGGGAAATGTTAATAGCAACATGCTCTGAGAAACCTGCAGCTCTGGGATGTTGGACACAATCTCCCTGATTGGTATCAAAAATCTGACTAGAGATCAAAGCATGTGCATACACTTTAAGTTTAAATATCAGTTAAAAGCAAGGTTAATTGCTGTATCAGGCCTCTCATGAGGTGGGAGGCTAACAAGAATTGAACTAATTTTGCTTCATGAAGCGTTTACTTTTTAAAGGATTTATTAGAATGTTGCTCTCAGGTTAGATATGAAAACAGTTTTCTGGTTAGACCTCCATAGTAGGTGGTGATTTCTCAGACAGCTCCAAAATTCACTGCTTTGAACAAAACAATGACTTTTTTTTCTTCACAGAAGTGATTAAATGTGACCTAAAACTATTAGAACTCCCAAAATGTATCATTTTTGAAATGCCAGTGAAGGAACTCTCACATTGTATCATGGAGAACTTTCATGTTTTTTCCTTCTCCCCTTTCTAACTACTATGTTTTTATATTAAAAAAAATGTGCTTTCAATTTCTAAAGGGAGATAGTAGGGATGTTACCTGATCATATTTTCCAAGGAATTTTACTTTTTAAGCATTTCCATATACTTGTAAAACTGAGAGGTTGATAAATTTACTGTATACTATCAGAATAATCCCCAAAACCTATTTTAAGTCAGCGTCTGTTCTGATTTCTCCCTAATCAGATTTTTTTTTTCTTTAACTTTAGGCTGTAGATCCATGAAGGAAAACATTAGCAATTGCTCCCTGGGGTTAATACAGTGCTTCAAAGAAGTAGCTTTTAATTCCCATAAGTAGAGAGATGATTTAAAGAAATCCTGTAAATGATGAGCTGAAAAGAAAGAAGCATTTAACAGTGCAGAAATAACAGGTTTCATTGTTCTGGCACCAAGAAATTGTGCTGTGCAGTCTGGAGCTCCATCTCCTGGTGCTTGTCAAAGAACTAAAATAATTTCCAAGTGTCCCCTAATCTAAACACAGACACCTCAGTGCACCCAAGCCGTGTTGCAGGGGCAATTGTGAACTCCCTCACCCCACAGCAAATCCAGATTTAGGTTTGTAACCCCCGTGGACAGGGGAACACAGATTTGAAAATGCCTTTCCAGGTGACTCTGGATCACTGGAGCAGTTCCCCAGCTCCTTCACTATGGGCTGTGCTTAAATAGAATTATCCTGCATTCAGTGGAAATGGGGGAGCTTGTGCACATCACCTCGTGAGTTTTGGGGAGGTGGAAGCTGCAACTGTGCTGAGCACTGTGCAACAAAATGAAAATTAAGCCCTCTAATATATTTCTTTAGTTCTTTATTTGTGGGATGCTGAACTGTCATTTGAAGGTCAGAGTGTTTTCTATTAAATATCTGAATTTCTCAGTTAAACTTTCTATTTAACATCCTTTTTAAAATACATATTTTAAAAACTGTGTCAGTGTATAATTCTACATACCAATTTTACCAGAGCTGTCAAAACATAATTGCTGCTTTACAAAATATCATGTGGCATAGGGAAATACCATACAGGTGAGCCAAATAAACAATAAACAAGTGAATGTAATACAGGAGGGAAGAGATGGGTCAAGGTTAGGATGTCAGCTGGAACAATGTCACAATGGGAGGTTAAGTTAATTAATGTTTTCTGTGCATCACCCACAAAAGCATCCTTAATAGGAAAAATGCTTCTAACAATTCATTTCAGGAATATTTCTGAATAAGAAAATTGACATTGTTATGAGTATTGCTTACTTTATTAGAATCTTCCTCTGTCATCTGGCTGGTAAATGTACCCATTCTTGTTATGGTTGTATTAATTTTTCTTCATGAATAGATTCAGAAGTGAATATCTCATCATTTCTTAAGAAAGATCATTATGTAAGTCACTTAGGATGTTTTTGCTTCTATTTAAGTATTTACAAGTAAATAAGCTATTTTATTCAGCCAATCAAAAATACTGTAACTAAAATACATTGCTGCTGCTGTGTGCTAGCTGGATCATTAGTCTTATATAATGTCTTCATTTTAGATACAGGCTTTTTATCAGCCAGCCTAGTCAATCCAATAGTAAAGGTCACAACTCATCTATTTTTGTTGTGTTTCTTCACCATTTGCTGGCTTACAGGAAAGCTAAATCTGTTCAAGAGAAGACTCTTATGTGAGAAACAGAACCTACAGTGTGGGATGGAGGTTTCTTGGGGAATGAGTGGTACCTGGGAGCTGCATTTAGCTCAAGTATCTGTCACTTGAGCACTGCTGACCAAGTGCACATTGCCCTCCCCACTTCATTTGCTATGACAAATTATTGAATCCAAGTCCTGCTCTGGTATCCCAGTGCAGAAAGATATTAACATTATCAATTTGAGCCAGTTTCCTGCAGATTTATCCCACTGTAAGAACAGACATTACCCTGTAATTTGGTATAGCTGCACCCAACTTCTCAGTAAAGTAAGGTGCACCCATTTCTCTTTCAGAAGCTACTCTTAAATTTCATTGACTTAATAACACATATGTTGAACATAAAGAGGAAAGAATAAATATGAAGGGAAAATAACAAAACCATGAATAAATATTATTAAAGAGCTTTTGAAATATTTCTTTAGCGTGGGAGTAGCATGCGCTTGTATCTATTCTGAAATTTAATCACATGTAGTCTTGATCTTAAAAAGACAGATAAGAATTGATTTGGGACTATGAACTGCCTTTCTTGTGCATCATTATAAAGCAAATTCTAGTAATATATGTCCATCCTCCCACAGGGAGCAGAAAATACTAGAAATCACTGGCATTATGTATGTGGTAATTCTCTTAGAAACCATCATTTCTACTCAAATTATTGCAGATTCTTTTACAAGGCACATGCCTGATAAATTGCAAACTTTTATTAGTTTCTTCATCAACTTTCAACGTATTAGACATGACTGATCTTGCAACTTAAAACTTGTCAGGAACAATAGAAGATATTCAAAGCATGGGTTTGAGTGGAAAAGTCCACATAGCTGTGCTTTTGTTTTCTTGCAGCAGTCTGACAATACCTTAATGAACTCTGGCCTTAAGCTCCGACTCTGACAACACACCAAAACGTAATAATTCTTGAGGAATGACTATGGGTGAATGGAATAATAAAGGAATGATTGAGGGTGAGCTTGCAATTCCAAATATTTCTGCAGGCATTTGTCCCAGGGACTTGGCATGGATCACATGCAGCCCAAGTGCTCACAGCTGCAGGTGAGCACGAGTGTGAGTTACACAACCTGTAATGAATTTCTCATGGGATGGTATATTTACAATTTACTATTATTATTTTTATAAATTATTTATTATTTTTATACATTAACTATTGCAGATTCTGTATTATTTTGCCTGTTGGTGCAGCTATGAGACAAATGCAAGATGTTTCAGATTTCCAGCTGAGATTTCCTACAGGAACACAATGAGCTGGACCTGAAGGTAACTAGGCCTGTATCCTAAAAATGAGAGCAGAGGGCTGGCTCTCTGTCCTTATTGAAGCGGGGTCTGCTGGTGCTGTGTGTACCTGTTCCTAGCAAGGGTGTGCTGATCCTGACAGTAGTAGCATGTGCTCACAGATCCACAGAGATCATCACAATCACCACCTTTTAAAATAACCTTGTGCTTCAAAATACTAGAGGCAATGCCCTTGTAGGTGTTTATGATTCTGGAACCTTTTTGCAATGTAAATACAACACCAAACTGAGCAGTCCTGAGTGAGAAAATCATTTAGCTAAACTTTCCCTAGGAGGCATGAAATTCTCCTAATACGGGATCTCCTAAGTGCATTCATTATTGTCCTAATGCTTACTTCCCATATTGATGAACATTTCCAGCTTCACCTTATGACCAGTTTCAATGGCATGTTCTCATTTTCTGTCACACTATTGACAAAAATATTGACTGATATCTACTGCCAGGTCAACCTTTTCACTAAGTCCTCTACAACCTCATTATTCCCAGTTTTTATCACTTATAATTAGCTTCCCATTAGCCAGAATCTTACTTTCCTTACCATCCTTGTGATGTTTTTCAGTTTAAACCACAAAATCTCACGAGATGGATCAGTTTCATCTGCAGGACATAGAGAAGTCAGCGCTGTCATTTCCCCTAAACCCACAGACCAGTTCTTGTGCCCAAAGAAAGGCAGTGGCATGCGTTGCCACTACTACCCTTGGTGAATCAATGGTGTGTTCCATTAATTATATTTCAGTGATTCTAATTAGTCATTCATTGGAACTGCTTTAAACCTATATGGTATTGAGTAAGACTCAATTCATATATCAGTATCATGTATCTTTCTTTTAGGTGCAGACTTCCAATGTCAGACTTGGGGAGAATCTAGAATTTCCACAAACTATACAGTTCACCTGCAGACTTAACAAAACAAGTTTGTGTTGTGGATTTTCTTCTTGTTCCTGTTAAATTGGCCTTTTGAAGACTAAGGGCTTGTGAGCTTTGCATGTTAAAGGCTAAACTCTTGTTATAGTGAAACTGATTCTTTTAGGGCTTGAGGGAATTGGAAGGTAAATTGAAAAGGAGTGACAAGGAGTCCTTGTGCAAGTCATTCACCTTGTAGAGCTCTAGGCTGAGAGAGCTCAAATGCTACTCTACTTAACAAGCTCAAAACCAACTCATTTAAATAACAAGCACAAACTCCACTTGGGATCCACACTGAGACATTTGTGCATTGTGCAGCCTGAACTCCCAAACAACATTATTTGAAACAAAAAAAAGAAGTAATTCCTTTTTTATAGTGGTAATTCAGGGATCAAGTCTCAAAAGCATTTGAACATTTCAAGGACTATTGCTATACTAAATTGTTCTTAACTACAAGTATTAAACTTTAAAAGGAACTGAATACTGTTTTCAAATTCAAATTATTAGCTTCATGTCTCACAAGGATAACAAATCTATGCATATTCTTGTCACTTTAGCAGAAAGTACAATATTTGTGCTTTAAAGCTGGAAAGTTAATTCTTGCTAACAAGTGATGAAGAAGATATGGTGGCTCAGAAATTATACACAAGAACAAAACCTAAAACTCTTATATCCAATACTGATCTAGTAAAAATATTTTGCAGAGTTAATACTCAAATTTCATGGACAGAAAAATGCAATTTGAATGAATAAATAAAAATATATCATATCTGGCCAGCGAAGTCCTTTGGTTCAGATCTTTGCTAACTGGAATGCCCCACCAAGTGCTGCTAAATATTTGTTCTATCATTGTAAATTTCTCGGGTTTTTTAAAATGCCATAGTTAAACTTCACTGGAAGTGTTTGCAGCTGTTTTGGACCTCTTCATATTTAAAAAGTTTATCATAACTAAAAGCCAGTGCATTTTCGACAATGTGAAAGAATATTTGCTAATGTTCACAGAACTTTGCACTTTGGACAAAAATATTTATCCATAAGACCATTTAACTTTCTGTGTAGAATTTCAGGTATTTTACCTGGCCACCATCAAATTTTGAAGATTTTTAGTTCATAAAAAAAGGCAAGATGATAATTTATTCTTCTTTAAAATGAAGAAAAATACATACTTTAGAATGTATCCTGTGTCCTCTAAGATTACAAATTTTACAGAAGTCTCTCTTTTAAGTCAACTGAGTTCCTAATTTTGTTGGTTTTAGCAGAAGTTTTGATTTAAAAGTGATTTTAAAATCCAGTTTTAGATCTGAATGATATTCTCACTCTAAAACTAGATTATATTGAAGAAACAAGAACTGAGCAGGATCTCCAGAGATATCATAGTTTCTATGATGACTTTTAAAGTAGTTATGTTAAATTGAGATTTCATTAAGTTAGAACTAAGCACCTCCTTTTTAGCTGTTATACAATGATGAATGGTGCAATACGCAGATGTAATGCAAGTATATGAATTAAGGCAGAAGGAATAGGTAAGAATTATTTTCAGTCTGTTTTCAAACTCAGCTTCAGCACAGTTTCATTTTTCCTTACCAGTTTTTCAAGCTAGTTTTGAGACAAGTCCTACAATTAGTGTACAGTTAAAGCTCCCATTCAGGCAATGGGAACTTTGCCCACTTCCAGGAGTACAAGCTGCAGCACTTGGCCCTAAGGATTTAATATAGCTGTAATGACTCATTATTGAATGTTTAGTTTAATAGCAACTGCTTATTAAGTGTATTAATCTCAGCTGATGAAAGCAAAATTATTTAGTGAAAAGCTGTTTTTCTTTACATTAGTGTGCAATTATTTAACTGAAAGTTTCAAAGAGACACATCTAATTACAGTGCTGCTTTAAAAGTATTTAAGCATCAGTTATTAAAATATCATTTGAAATATGCTTATGGACCTCCTGAAGTGTTGTTTAAAAGCAAAATTCTGGTTTCAGATTATTACTTACAATAGGTTTCCTTTCACTACTTACCAACTTCTTACAAAATCTGCTTAATGTACAGGATTGAACTGTTTTCTGTAAAACAGAACAAGATGCAAGAATTTGTGTGTGCAGAATGTATATGTCTATGCTCAGGCTGAGATTACTGAAAATCAAAATTAATGATGCACATTTACAAAGTAAGAATCCCTTTGCTGAATTGGCATTTATGGGGAAAGCATCTATGAATACTAAAAGAAGTCTGCCAGTCAGTTCTCTTTAATTAAAGACATTTATCTGCAGAAAAACTAATTCTGCTTGCCATTTAGCATCTTCAAATATTTGTCCTCAAACCACACATACTTGTCTATAAGAAAATATAAAAAATATATTGATTGTTTACTTGTGTTTTAGTCACCTATTTTGGGGTTTTTTTAGGGATACTTGTTCCTCCATCACATGCTTCCAGCAGTTTATGGATGACAGATAAGCAGTGCTCAGCAGTCCCTGCCAAGCTCTGTACACCTGACAAGTATGAAAAGGATGCAGAAGGTATCTTTGGTGAGTCATGTAGCATGTCAGAAGTCTACTAGAATTCTGGTTGGTCAAAGACATGTAAGATATTTGGATAAAAGGAGGCAGAGCCCTGAACAGGCATATGGATGAGAAGAGCCAGGCGCTTTTCCAGCAACTTTATCCTGCAAAGAAAGGGTGGTGTGATGGAGATGCAGGGACAGTAGGACAATGACAGTTCCCAGCCTCTGAAAATGTTCTCTGCCCTATGGCTTAGACACATAAGAGCTGTCCTTGCTGAACTATTGAAGTGCAGCTTCTCAGCCTTTCACACATGCCAGACACTGACCTTGCCATGCTGGCTCCAGCCAGTTCTTCCCTGGAGAAAATTCCCCTGGGAGGGCAGCCAAGCCCAGGGGAGCTCTGTGCTCCTGCTGTGGCTGTGGGGTGTCCAGGGATGCGCAGGGCTTCCCCTGTGCTGGAGCTGGTGTAATGGGAGGGGGTTCTGAGCTTGGCATCTTTTATTCCTTCAGGAAGAGGAATGTTCCTGCTCCTTCCTGCAGACCCACTGTCCAATTCCTCCACACCCACCCAGGGGACTCTTGGTCAAATGGGTTCTCCAGTCCTTCCCCACTTGATATTAATATTGTCATTCTTTCTGACTCGCACAGTAATCCTGTCACCTTTTTGTTTCTTCTCTGCTTCTGCTCCTTATTTCTCCTGGGGAGATCACTGTCCTCCTTGCTCAGGGCTCAGGTTGTGTACCTGTGTGCCTCCAAGGTCATGCATAGCCTGGTTGCTCCAAACACAGACAGGAGAGCTGTGGACAAGGAAGGAGTGCAGCAAAGCTGCAGGCTGGCTGGAATACCTTCAGTTAGAGTTAATTAGCCATAAACCTCCCCAGACTGCTCAGCCTGGGGACAGGCTATTGGCTTGTTCTTTAAGATCTCTTGTCATGCTGTCAGCTTTGTGTAAGTAATGACTAAACTGCAGAAGCTCTGAGGCTGTTGTCTCTTTCACAAACTGTCTCCCTGATTCACTTTGCTCAATCCTCCATTTTTCCATCCATTTGTTTTTCCCTACTGTAGCAGGATTGCATTTTGACCTGTGTTTGTATTGCTCCACCAGAATCAGGGCATCAGACTCTGACAAGTGTCAGAGTTTATTAGTGGGGCTGTGGGTTGTTCCTGCTAAAGAGAAAAGCAATGATGTGTCACAGCACTCATCTTTTACTTTACCTGGACCACCATCTCTGCAGCAAGCCCTCCCCTCAAGTGACAGGTACAATACTCAGCTACACACACATGGCATTTTGACTTAGTTTCCCCAAGTGGAATAGTCACAATACAAACACACA